TGCCGCCGCCGCTCTCGTGTGGTGAGCGGCGCGGAGGTCCGGCGGAGCGTCGTCTTTGCCTCCCTGGCGTGGTGAGGAGGAGGCAGTCTGTTAACTTCCGTTAGGCTCGAGTGCGTAACCAGTGCGAGGTTACGGCTGCGCGAGGGCATTAATTGCCCCGCGGGGTTGTAACGGCGTGTTTGGGAGTTGGGGGGAAGCCCCCCGGATAGTCTCCCACCCCCTTCTCAGTTACCATCTCAGGTCAAACGGTGGGGGGGGGGAAGATTGGCGTGCAAAGAATTTTAGTTGCAAGCTGACAAATCGAAAGAGTAAGTAAAACAACTTCACACCTTTTACTTCGGTGGTTATCGCTAACCTCGTTGCCTCTGCCCTGTTTGCCCTGGTTTAGATGAACAACACGCAGCCCTGGTTGGAGATGCCTTCGTGCCCCCTGAATTGTGTTAGTTTTTATGTGGACTGCTAACAGCTCTGCCAGCTTTCACGCTAACCGAAAATGGAAAGTTAACGGTCGTGCACATCCCTGTGCCACTTTTCTGTCTCGAACCTCAGCATTACGCACCAGTTGCAGTCTATTAGAATCAGTTATTCTCCAAGCAACAAAAATGAAGTCTAGTATCCTTATGATTTCTGTCCTTTTTTTTCTGTAGCTCTTCTCCAGACACAAAGACCACTAACCTCAGCCGAACACCTAGAACAGTTGGGTTCTTTCTGCCTTTTTTCCCCAGTGTAGTTCACTGATTTGGGTCTTTGTCCTCAACCGGATTATTTAAAGAAACATACAGGGACTTAATTAGCTAGGAGACTTCTGCCACTCCTTCCAGTACGGTTATATTTGGATGACAGGTTCAAAAAATACTCAAGGGTAGTGACAGAGACGGAGAAGCAGTATGAATGCATACTCCTTTTTCTTGTAAAATATACTTTGTTTGAGAGCAGTGCTGCTGTATTTTGCAGGGATACAAACTTGGGGAAATGAAGGTGGGAAGGTGAAGGAGTAAAAACCTAAACTGTTCTCCAGCCTCCGCTTGCTCCTCTTCTAATGCTTCCTACAAAGGAAGCCTGTAACTGCATTGTGAAATGTTTCACTGTGAGCTGTGAAACAGTGGCTATACGTCCTATGGACTAACATTTTAATAAAACACTAAGGTATTCACAGCTAAACC